CAAATTTCTAAAAAAACCAAGTACCAAGAAATCCGATTGTAATTTAAATTATAAATTCATTCGACTCCTCGATGATAAAATTCTTATTCGTATTATTGAATAAAAAAAAAATTATAATATATATTTATAAAATTATAAATTCATTCGACGTCTCGATGATAAAATTCTTATTCGTATTATTTGAATAAAAAAAAATTATAATAATATTAATTTATTTCAAATTTCTAAAAAAAACGAGTACCAAGAGATCCGATTGTAATTTAAATTATAAATTCATTCGATGATAAAATTCTTATATAATTCATATTATTGAATAAAAGAAAAATTATAATAATATAATAAATTAATATAAATTAATAATAATAAATTAATAATAAATAATAAATTAAAAAAAATATAATAAATTATAATATTAATTTATTTCAAATTTCTAAAAAGACCGAGTACCAAGAGGGCGCCTGTATGAGTATCAAGGACAAACGATGCAAATGGTCGAAGGGTAAGGCCCTGGGTGGAAGCTCGGTGATCAACGCCATGCTGCACGTGTTCGGGAACAAGATGGACTACGACGGCTGGGCGAGCGAGGGGAACGAGGGATGGGGTTACGAGCAAGTTCTCCCATACTTTCGAACATCGTTGAGCTGTTCGCCGGACCACGTGGCCCGATTCGGTGCCGATTACTGCGGCACGGACGGACCGATGAGGATCAGGAATTACAATTACACGGCAACGGATATACAGAACGTGATACTGGGGGCGGCGCGGGAGTTGGGATACGAGATCCGGGAGCCGTTGAACGGGGACCGTTTCGTGGGATTCGGCAAGGCCATGGGCACCCTCGACGACGGGCGGCGTCTGAACGCCGCCAAAGCTTTCCTCTCCCCCGTCAAGCACAGGAAGAATTTATACGTGATGAAGTCGAGCCGAGTGGACAGGGTGCTGTTCGACGAGGATGGACGGGCGAGCGGAGTGAGGATCACGTTGAAGAACGATCGAAGGATCGACGTGAGGGCGGCCAAGGAGGTGATCCTGTCGGCGGGGAGCGTGGCCAGTCCCCAGATACTGATGCTCTCGGGGACCGGGCCCAAGGAACACTTGGAGGAGATGGGGATAACGCCTGTCCACGATCTACCCGTCGGGACTAATCTTCAGGATCACGCCATATGGCTGGGCACGTATCTCTTGTTCGTCAACGAATCCGTCACCTCACCCCCGCCCGAGGACGCGATCTACGACTCGGCCTACCAATACTTGATCCACAAAACCGGCCTGTTGAGCGATCTACCGATCAATCTCCTAGGCTTCGTCAACGTGACCGATCCTTCGTCCAAGTATCCGGACGTTCAATTCATCGTGGCGCCGGTTTATCGTTTCGACAGGAACATATTAACGACCGTGATGAACAGTTTCGATATAACGGACGACCTGGTTACGGACATGTCACGCGTGATCACGAAGACGAGCCTGGTCATAGTTTGCCCTATACTGTTGAAACCGAGGAGCAGAGGAGCGGTGAGATTGCGCAGCATCGATCCCGCCGACCCCGTCAAGATTTACGCGAATTACTTCGCCGAGAAGGGCGATCTGGAGACGTTGTTGAAATCCGTGGACGTGGTCAAGGCGCTGTTGAACACCGAGACCCTGAAGAAGCACGGCATGCGGTTGCACCACCTCGATATTCCCGGATGTCGGCACACGGAGCCCGATAGTGAGGAGTATTGGGAATGCAGCATCAGGCACGTGTCCGCTTCTCTGTTTCACGCGTGTGGAACGGCCAGGATGGGGCCGGCCGACGACTCGAGGACCGTCGTCGACTCGAGATTGAAGGTGCACGGAGTCCAGGGTTTGCGAGTGATCGACGCGTCGATCATGCCGAGTATCATTAGCGGGAATACCAATGCACCGACCATGATGATTGCCGAGAAGGGGGCGGATATGATTAAGGAGGATTGGTTGAAGAATTTGCGAGCGGAGGAAGATGACGATACGCGGCAGACGTGCGTGTAAAAAATCGTTTTTGGATGTTTAATGTAGTAATTCTCTATCTTTGTCTATGAGAGATGGACAAAATTGTAACGAAGCTGAGAATAAAATTACTTTAATAATTTGTTCATGTGAATAAGTATAAAAGAGAGGATTCGAATATATTTTAAATAATAAAATTATTAAAGTAATTTTCGAAATTTCTTTTTCAACAAAATAATATTCAAATCTGCGCATGTAACATATACGATAATGTAGACAAGCCAAGAAAGATAGAAATACGCAGCAGTATGCGTATAAAAGATCGTTTTCGGATGTGTAGTATAGTGTTAGGCTTGGACGTACTTGTATATTATTTCTATTGTGCTTTGCCTGCAGAGATGGACAAAATTGTAACGTTCGAAATTGAGAATAAAATTATTTCAATAATTTGTTCATGTGGATAAGTATAAAAGAGAGGATCGATTCGAATATATTTTAAATAATAAAATTATTAAAGTTTCAAAATTTCAATTCTAGTTACTCTTTCAACAAATTAATGCTCAACTCTGCGCATGTAACGTATAATATAGACGAGTGAAGAAAGATAGGAATACGGCAGACATGCGTATAAAAGATTGTTTTCGGATGTATAGTATAGTGTTAGGCTTGTATATTCTTTCTATTGTGCTTTGCTTGCAGAGATGGACAAAATTGTAACGTTCGAAATTGAGAATAAAATTACTTTAATAATTTGTTCATGTGGATAAGTATAAAAGAGAGGATCGATTCGAATATATTTTAAATAATAAAATTATTAAAGTTTCGAAATTTCAATTCTAGTTACTCTTTCAACAAATTAATGCTCAACTCTGCGCATGTAACGTATAATGTAGACGAGTGAAAGAAGATGGGAATACGGCAGACATGCGTATAAAAGGTCGTTTTCAGATGTATAGTATAGTGGCAGGCTTGGACGTACTTGTATATTCTCGCTATTGTGCTTTGTCCACGAAAGATGGGCAAAATTGTAACGTTCAAAGTTGAGAATAAAATTATTTCAATAGCTTATTGTTTAGTTAAAGTATCGAATAATTTGTGGATAAGTGTAGAAGAGGATTGATTCGAATGACTTTTGAAATTTTAAGTCTGGTTACTTTTTTAATAAATGCACAATTGAGTATAAAACATATACATATAATATAGACTGCTAATTCCACTCCACTCTCCTCTACAAGGAGTGGGGAAAAGAGTCTGTAGAGTTGGGCATTATAACCTATTGAAAAACTATTGAAAAATTTCGAATAAAATTACTTTGAATAATTAAAATAATAACTTTATTCTATAATAAAGAGGTTCTTGATGTCGAATTTTTTTTTGAGAGGAGAATACGTGATTTATTCTTGCTGCTATTCCCTCGCAAGTAAGTTCCCTTGCAAGCTTTTACCACCAAGTCACGTGACGTATCTCTATCTAATCTAACAATTGTAGTAGGGATAACATGAATACATGACGTCAATGTATTTTTCTCTTGAGGAAATTGAGAAGGAATTGAACAGAGGTGGACAAAATTTAATAGTTAAGAAGTTAAGAATAAAATTATTTAACTTAATTCAAAAATTTTAATTAGTTTCTTTAATAGATTAGTGGTTAACTCTGGAGTTAGGCCAATTTTTGGTGACAAAGAAAGTAACATGAATCTAATTTTCATTATCAGTGTGTGATTTGCCCATTTTTAATTAATTCCATATTTTCTCGTCGTGTTTTGTACTCATATATGTACTAATACTTATATGTAATAATATACACTTTTATAGTGTGGTGGGGAAACACAGAAGTGGGGCAGAAAAGACATGCGACTCGTAACTCGTCCAAGTCTGCAGTGGAGCGTTGATTATTCGAACTGCTGGATCCAAAGTGGTTAAAATTGTTCGGATAATGAAACATCCGTGTACTTTCTTATCCAATTGTAACTATAGGAGTTACATGTAAAATTACTTATTAAATACAAAAGTAGTACTATTAATTTGAAATGTTAAAATGTTAAATAATTACGTTAAGTAATTATTACGTCAATACCGATTTGAAGAGAGATGCAACTTTGGCTCGAATAATTCGAATGATAGACGAGAAAAGAAGAAAGAAATAATAAAAAAAAAAATATTATAAATTCACATTGCATGATGATATCCTTTTGATTTTTGATAGTGTGATTAAAAATTAACGATATTTTTGATTATTTTTTTTTATAAATGTTATTCATCCTTGTACAATGTTATGAATTACTTTCTTGAAAAATTGTTTCTTGAAATGCAATACGATAGCAATTCTTGGAATCGTTAACATTCCAATGCATTTTACAGTTGTTCTGTAATTCACTGAACGCACTTACGTTATCGTTAAATTTTTCTGCAACATAGTCGACACAACGAAAATTCTTATTGAAATGTAATCTATTATTAATTTAAAATTGAAAAAAGAAGAATTTGATAAAATGTATTTTGCAATGAAATATTTCTATCGAGAGCGCTATTGATAATAAATAAAATTTTAAGAATAAAAACCAAAATCAAAATATAATGTAAAATATAATCGATAATGCGACACGACAATTAATAATTAATGTTTTAATATTAATATCATCGAGGAGAATAATTGCTTTACAACAAGAGAGATAACAGTTGAGTTTTATAATTCGATTCGATAATAACGTTCGATAAAAAATAACGAGATGGAAAAAAGGGGTTTCGATGTTTTATTACAAGGAAAACCGTGAAATGCGAAAGTGAAACGAAATCGACGATGATATGCAGACTGACTTGCCACGTGAAAAAGTTATTGTAAGAGGCTGTAAAGCCGGCGAGTAATACCATGAATAATAGAAAATAAAAAGTATCGAAGTAGAGCGGAAGCAGAGCAAACACGATCAGGTTGGTCGCTCTGTAGCTAATAATTTGTAAGATCCTTTCTAATTGTGCTTACAATCTATCGATAACACACAGAAATGCGAAGAAATAAACGATTTTAAGTAATATTGCTTAAAGTGAGATGTTATTACAAAAGATGTTGTTATATGGAATGCAATATAAACTAATATAACTAATATAACAATATAAACTAATATAAGCTAATATTTGTATTGAATATATAATGATGACAATAAAATCTTTGGAACACTTTTTATACTTGATTTAAGAAAAATTTTATTTAAATATACCAAAATATCAAATCTCATTTTACTTAATCCTTTTGTAGAAATATCGAATATCACATTTTAAATTTAAAACTTCTTAATTTCCTAATTCAAGATACTTGATGAAGTATCAATCCTCTTTAAAACACCGATAAATTTAAAAAATATCGGCAAATATAAAAATTTTTACAAATGGATCTGCCTCTTTCGTCATCGAATTCGAATCATTCGATGTTATGAATTTCGTTGTAATTTTAATCGAGGAAAGTGGTTACTCGTTAATAAACGAAAGCGTGCACCTCGAAAGCAAAAAAAGTAGAGACAGGAGGGAAGTGGCAAGAAACCAAGGCACCGAGAGAGGAGCACCACTTTCGTTCAAATCAATCGTCAATGGTCCGCCACCCTTTCAGCACTAAAGAATTCAGTTTTCCATTTTTTAAACAAATAAGTGCCGTTCTGCTTTTTATATATAAAAAAAAAAAAAAAATAATAAATCCATTGTGCATGATTTTAAATTCAAAAATTAAGAGTGAACAGTGTGAGATTAAACGGTATAAAATCAAGAAACTCTTTGATCAATCTTTTCTTCTTAATTTTAATTACGAGATGGGAGTTTGTTTTCTAGATATTTGACTCGATACGTGAAGTTTATTTATGCAGAAGAATTTATACGTTCGAAGCGTTCGATTAAAAATCCAGGTATCTTTAATCGATCAATAATAAAAATGTAATAGATATTACGGAAAGGAATAATATAAGAATACGTGATCAATCACGTAATAAATTAACGATTACTTAAATTAAGATAGTTAGATGAAGAATTTTTAACGTTAAATGGTTATTAGTCACTGCAGTTGACAAAAAGAAACGTGGTTAAAGAAACGTCTGTTTAAAGAACGAAAACGTAACCATTGTTCTTCACTTCCACACGTGTGTGAATACAATGAACTCTTTGTCGCTTAAGTGCTCACGACATTCGAAACTCCTTCTTTCTTTTGCCGAACACAATAGGCACAAAAACACACACAAAAACAAAAAAGAAACAAAAGGAAAGAAAGAAACAGACGAGTCACTCTTATTTCTTCGACTCTCTTTAATTATTTTATTCTGCGAAAAACGTATATCCAAATCCAAAATCTTTTCGTTTGTTTTCTTTTAAAAACAATCTTTTCGTCAAATTATATATCAAATATAAATTTTCTCTAAACAATTTAGAATTCCATTCTAAGAGAATGATCAATCATCTAAATTCTTTTACTCATTATTAAGAACATTCGTGATTCGAATGATCCACCATCATCTTCTCTGATTCCTCCTCGTGCAAACACAATTTAGAAAAAAGAAAAGATCGATAATTGCTGAAACTTTGCCCAACAGAGGAAGGGAATCCATCATCCTCGAAAGTTATGTCGTGGGTGCCACCGGACTTAGCAACTCTTTGCCAGCCACATTCCACCGTGTCTACCTGCCAACCGCCGGCCTTCATGTTCCTGGCTCTGGTCGCGCATCTATTCGGCTATTCCCAAGACCCTTTCCACCGTCCATCTCGTGATTTCGACTCGTTTCGCCCGTGGAAATTCGACGAATGCGTGAGATCCAACGCGAGACGTTCGTCCAAGGACACGTTACGCGGTCACAAGATGGAGGACGATGGAGGAGGATCGGTGGAGTTGTCGAGGGAGGAGGATGAAAGGGAGACGATTGAATCATCGATCGTGAATTTCGAAGAAATTTGTAACTTTTATCCTCCGCGAACCGAAATCGTCCGTGAACCGTTGAGTAAAATTTACGATGCAGTTCGATTTGATCAAGGTAAACGTCCCTTTTTTTTATGAATAAAAAAGGAAGAATAGATACGTGAAAGAAAAAATTATTCTGGTTGATTATTTGTTAAATTTCTTTTTTTTGGTAATTTATCAATATAATTATTAATTGCAGAAAGAATTTATATTCCGAGAATGTTGAACGACATTGCATCTCCAATGTATCTGTTAACGAGCCAGGATCAAGTAAATCGTCAAGATGATAATTCAAAGGCGGTGGAAAGAATTTTCATCGACAATCGAGACGAAAATGTTCAAACGATTTCTTCGTACGACGCTTGGAGAGGTGGTGCTAGTGATTTTGATCGGTACAAGAATTTTATGTATCCTAAGAAGTTGGTGGATAGTCAGATTGGCGTCAATTTTCCGCAAATTTCCACGAATTTTCCTAGAGAAGAGTACGATTTTATTATCGTTGGAGCTGGATCGGCTGGATGCGTTCTCGCGAATAGATTGAGCGAAGTAAAACACTGGAAGGTATCTATTCGAGAATAATTTTAACGAAGATTTGTTGTATTTTGTTACTTTAATCAGTAGAAAGGCAAAAGTATTCGATTAAGAGAATTTTTATATAATAGAATGTACTGTTGGAAAGTATTTTTTGAATTTCATTTCGTATTATTCGTATTTTCCCGCGAAAACGTAGAGCGCTTTATTCAATATGGCTGACGAATTCTATTTCCAATTAGATCTTTTCGAATTATCAATAATTTTGATATTTTTAGTTGTAGGATTAATTATTTCATATATTTTTATTGTTTAGAAAGAAAAACAATTTTTAATGACATTCTTTTATCTTCTGAATTAAAACAATTCAAATATTTTTGATATTTATCGAAACTGAAATTGATCTCTCAAAAAATGATTGGTGACTTTTTACTTTTCTAGGAAATAGAATATATATTAGATTTTTATTAAACAGAAAGAAAAAAAACTTTAGTCAGAACTTTAAACTGCATAGGAAAGAAAGGCCACGCTGAATTCCAATGTTAATCGGATAATAATAAGAAGAAAAAAAAAAGAACGAGTTTTTATGAACATGGAACGCTTTTTACTAAATAGTGCAATGGTGATTAATGATTCATGAAATGATTTTGTTCGAAATTGAACGTAGAATAAAATTCTCCTTTATTCTTATCGAAATTAAATAAATTTTAATAATTGATCTGATAATTAAATTTATTTCTTAACTTTAATCTTTAAAGAATTTGTACAATTGTTAAAGTGAATTTTATAAAATCGTCGCGCTTGATGCGTAAAGATAAAGAAAGTTGATAATCCCTTAGTTGAAAAGTCGAACAATGCCGAGGGCTTCTTTGAAAAGGATCATGAAACAGAAGATCGTCGACCATTATATCGTGAGACCTCACTTAGAGGTTTCAATTGATGATTAAACCAGACCGTGAACCGCGTAAGACTATAAAACTATTTATTGGATCGAGTAGTGTCAATGCAATAAAATCAGCCTAGCAAAAAATCATCTGTATTTTTAACGAGTTTAAGCAATTTTCATCACAGATTTTTATTAATCTCTTATTAATGACAATAACATAGATATAATTTTTCAAAAAGATTTTATCTTTTCAAAATTAATTATTTTATGAGAAAAAAAACTATGAATGATCAATGATCGATTCAACAATTTTAGAACAGCATTACAATTAAATATAAATTGAATTAATTAAAAAAAAGTGAAATGAAAAGTTAACGAATATTTGATTTTTTATATTCATTTTTAGATATTATTATTGGAGGCTGGAATAGAAGAACCATTGGTGGCCAAAGTTCCTGCTTTTGCCTCTATGTTGCAAGCCAGCAATATTGATTGGATGTATCGTACACAACCAGAGCGACACTCTTGTCGATCAAGAAGAGATAGAAGCTGTGCATGGGCAAGGGGTAAAGTATGTATTATATAATATGAACCTCGAATCTTAATTATGATCTTACACGTTCAAAATAATATTTTTATTTTCGTAGCAATCGATAATTTTAAAAATTGAATTGTATAATATTATATATTTATTATACTTAAGATATATGTTATAAATTGTCGTAGGTAATGGGTGGATCCAGTACTATCAACTATATGATTTATATACGTGGTAATCCAAAAGATTACAACGAATGGGCAGAGAAAGGAAATTATGGATGGAGTTACGAAGAAGTTTTGCCATATTTTCTCAAGTCAGAGAACAATAAGGATCGAGAGGTAAATTTAACGAAGCTTATATTAACTTCCTTCTTCAAGCAAAATTACACAGAAAATTTATCATTCATAATAATTGTGATCATTAGTATAAAAGAATATATCACAGAAAACTAAATAAATCACATCTCCAAAAATCTAATCATATTTTCCAATTTCATTATTCAACAATAAAACAAAATTAACAATCCATTCATATCCTAACGATATCAAATTATAAAAGATCATCTAAAAATCTAATCACGTCGATTTGCACAATATCGATTTCCTAGATCGTAAAAGAAAATCCATACTATCACAACAAAGGCGGTTATCAATCGGTGGAACGATTTCCATACACCGACATCAACGCGAGGATTCTTTTGAACGCGTGGCGGGAACTCGGTCACGTGACCGTAGATGCAAACGCGGGAACACAATTGGGAGTAATGAAATTGCAAATGACTTCCCTCCATGGAAAGCGCGAAAGCGTCAATAGTGCGTATATCAGACCTATCAGGCGCAAACGAAAGAATCTCACCATCGAAACACAGGCTCACGTCACTAGATTACTGACAGATCCAATCACGAAACGTGTGACAGGTGTCGATTACACGTGTACATCGACAGGATTGAGTAAATCTGTTCTGGCTAGGAAAGAGGTCGTCCTTTCAGCTGGCACGATTAACTCGCCCAAAATTTTAATGCTATCCGGCATAGGGCCGGCCGATGAATTAAAGAAACATGGAATTCCAATAATCAGCGACTTACCAGTTGGAAGAAACCTTCAGGATCACGTGACGATGGACGGTTTGGTAATCGCGTTGAACAGTACTTCGACGACGAAAGACAACCGTATGAAGAAAAGTGACATCTGCTACTACGAGAAGACTCAGATGGGGCCACTGTCTGCCACTGGAACACTCGTGTGCGGAGCGTTTTTGCAGACTGCGTTCGAACATGAACATGGCTTACCAGATATTCAATACGCCTTCGATGCTAGCAATCAGATGGATTTTTTGAACGATCCAGCGGAGTTTGGGGAGACCAGGGTCGAGCCTTTGTCTTATTATGATGCCATCAATATTAGACCTATCTTACTGTCGCCTAGAAGCAGAGGATTCTTATTGTTGAACGATACAGATCCTTTGTGGGGGCCACCATCTATCTATCCTGCATACTTCACTGCCTATCCCGATGTAGACGTGATGGTGGAGGGGATAGAGATTGCTTTGAAGTTGTTCCATACCACGTGGTTTCGGCAGTATGGCTTTCGACTTATCGATACGCCTCTGCCATCTTGCAGACGTTTCATTTTTGGCACGAGGGAATATTGGAAGTGCGTGATGATGGAGTACACGGCGACGATCTATCATCCTGTAGGTACGTGCAAAATGGGTCCAGATTGGGATCCCGAAGCTGTGGTCGATCCTGAGTTGAGGGTTTACGGAGTGGCTGGTTTAAGAGTCGTGGACGCTTCGATCATGCCTAAAATCGTTAGAGGGAACACGAATGCGCCTACCATCATGATCGCGGAAAAGGCTAGCGACATGATCAAGGATGAATGGTTATATGCGTGGAAGTAAAAGTTTGTGATTATATCGAAGACGAGAACTTTGGACAGTAACGATGTAATAAGTAAAAAGTTGGTATCGATCCAACTGATTTTTAATGTGTTTTCGATATGCAGGTACGCCAATGTAATTCGTTTTTATATGTAGAATATGATGTATAATAATAACTATAGTGAAAGTTTGTAATGTTATTCCTCGAGAATATTGATTTTAGTATATATTATAAAATTTTTACGATTTTACCATAGGATAGGATAAAAGCATTGATTAATTGAATTACCTTCATTAATAGTACCAAAAATTAAAAGAATCTATTGTTTGGAATAATCTTACCTGAAACAAAGGAAAAAAGAGGTTATATTAATTTCTATTCTTAATTATATGATGAAATATTGAATTGTAAGTATGTCGAGTGAATAAAAATATAAAGAATGTTATCTAATTATTATTCTGTGTCAAGATCTCAAAATGTTAGGTTAATAATATCAATCAATAGCAGAATATAATTAGGTTACAAAAAACGTACGATTAATGAACAGTTATCGCAAATAGTTATCATATAATGATTTCTTGTTCCATTTTTTCCCCTATATAA